ACAATGTTACATGCTGGCTGCTTCTCTCAAACAGCAACAGCCATAGTATGCACAAATCCCTCTTATAGCAACACCTATCATTATATTTTAGAATGTTCACTGTTCAATGTTTTAAACAGAGGAGCAACAAGAAAGAGTTCATGTCCCTTAAGCCACCATTTCACCATATGCAGAAAAATAACAACTAATTGTTGCCAGGTTGCCACAAGAATTTGTGACCGAGTTGGAACCAGGAAAAGGTTTGATGTTAAGGAAGAGCATTTTGATATAATTCCATTAGCGCTATAATACCCCTGAAGCATTGTACACACACCCACCCATTCATATACAGGCTCAGATTTAGCACACCATTATCCAATTCTTTCCAGGCTCGTAATGGGGATGGTATGTTTAATTGGTAGTGTAAATTTCAACACATATCCATCAATTCAAGAGCACATGAACAAGGGCACCTGTTACTCCCGTCCCCACCTGAACAAAGCAATCCTACCACTACAACTATTGTACCATGCCTCATACAGTTATAGCACTTGGACCCACTTATGCATTCGTGTTGATCTTTAAACTATTAAGATGGAACAGTACAGTATTTGAGAGAGAATGTAAAACAAAGGAAATCACTGACTGACTGAGTTTGGTTTTACGCCGCTTTTAGCAATATTCCAGCAATATCACGACGGGGGACACCAGAAATGGGCTTCACTCATTGTACCCATGTGGCAAAGGAAATCACAAACCTAATTCAAACAAAATGCATTTGTGTGTCAACATAGCCGTTAAACTATCAATGGATTTATACTGGAGGTAGATCACACTGTAAACACAATTTCAGACTTAAAAATGGTTTGCTGAATGATCTAAAAATGCTAAAAATATGACTCTGACAACAGAATAAAGATGACATTATTACTGTGTTGATAAAATACAAACTAAAACATGGTAGTTCGCTACATTAAATACCAATACTGGTTAGTAGGAATACATGATAATCAAGGGCACTCAGTATCAATCATTACTGGGGTTGAGTCGTGTTCAAACTGCATGGCAAGACAATGCAACACGTCAGTCACAAATACAAAAATATGATCTTCCCATGAAAGGATTTCAAGACAAACCAGTCATCTTCCTCTTGAACAATCTATAAAATACATTTGTTGGCACACCTGAGCTTGCTACTCTCTTGAGATACATCTACAAACACGACTGACTGAGCCTCTCAGGGCGGTGCTTCCTGACTTCCTAGTCATGTGAAACATATGTTCAGTGCGACCAATCACAAGTGACTTTCAAAGTCAATAGTCCACAGTTATTCCTACATTAATAATCACTTTGGAAAAGACACTTACATAAAAATAGCAAAACCCAAACAACCCATTTTACGATTATTGTATTATTAAATACTGAACTTCTTCTTAATTAGGTTTGTACTGGATCAAGATACAAAACAAACACTTTTAAATACAAACACAAAGCTGAGATCTTTGAGTCTATTAAATGTACTAAAATATAAAATAACAACTACACTTATCTCCTTTTGCAAGGCTTACATCCTGATAATAGACCACCACTGCTGGCTCCATGAAGGACCATCACTGCAGGCTCCATGAAGGCCCCATGAAGGACCATCACTGCAGGCTCCATGAGGGACCATCACTGCAGGCTCCATGAAGGACCACCACTGCAGGCTCCATGAAGGACCATCACTGCAGGCTCCATGAAGGACCATCACTGCAGGCTCCATGAAGGACCACCACTGCTGGCTCCATGAAGGACCACCACTGCAGGCTCCATGAAGGACCACCACTGCTCCATGATGGACCACCACTGCAGGCTCCATGAAAGGACCACCATCACTGCAGGCTCCATGAAGGACCATCACTGCAGGCTCCATGATGGACCACCACTGCAGGCTCCATGAAGGACCATCACAGCAGGCTCCATGAAGGACCATCACTGCAGGCTCCATGAAGGACCATTACTGCAGGCTCCATGAAGGACCACCACTGCAGACTCCATGAAGGACCACCACTGCTGGCTCCATGAAGGACCACCACTGCTGGCTCCATGAGGGACCACCACTGCAGGCTCCATGAAAGACCACCACTGCAGGCTCCATGAAGGACCATCACTGCAGGCTCCATGAAGGACCATCACTGCAGGCTCCATGAAGGACCACCACTGCAGGCTCCATGAAGGACCATCACTGCAGGCTCCATGATGGACCATCACTGCAGGCTCCATGAAGGACCATCACTGCAGGCTCCATGAAGGACCACCACTGATGGCTCCATGAAGGACCATCACTCACTATAGTAATATTAACGATATGGTAAACACCTTCCCAGCCATAACAGTTTTGTTTAAAATGCTGCTGTTGTATTTTTCTTGTTTCTCTGTTAATAAAACAGCAAACAGGGTTTCCAAATGAATTAATCAATCATAAAAGCATAAATTAACAGGAAAATATACATTCCACAAAAATCAATCTGACAAAAATACCAACAGTCCATATAACAAACTAAATGACCACAGGGTTAAATCATCACTGGTAACTATGACAGCATTTTTCACTGATTTAGCAATCACTGAGATTTTACCAACAATATTAGAAAAGTATTTAAAATATCCATATTGTTAATACAATTAATCACATTGTGAAATAACCAAATCCCTCTTGGTCACTCAGGTAACAAACAAAAACACTTGCACCACTTCTAGGAAAATAAACCTAGGAATATGAGGTGTACAACTAAGGATATGTATTGGTCAGCCCCCACAAGGCTGGAAGCACCTGCCAGGACATGTGACAGTGTTGATTACAGGTGTGACCATACATGTGTCACTGTTACACTGCATGTACATCACACCTGCCAGGACATGTGACAGTGTTGATTACAGGTGTGACCATACATGTGTCACTGTTACAATACATGTACATCACACCTGCCAGGACATGTGACAGTGTTGATTACAGGTGTGACCATACATGTGTCACTGTTACACTGCATGTACATCACACCTGCCAGGACATGTGACAAGTGTTGATTACAGGTGTGACCATACATGTGTCACTGTTACACTGCATGTACATCACACCTGCCAGGACATGTGACAGTGTTGATTACAGGTGTGACCATACATGTGTCACTGTTACCATACATGTGTCAACAATACATGTACATCACACCTGCCAGGACATGTGACAGTGTTGATTACAGGTGTGACCATACATGTGTCACTGTTACAATACATGTACATCACACCTGCCAGGACATGTGACAGTGTTGATTACAGGTGTGACCATACATGTGTCACTGTTACAATACATGTACATCACACCTGCCAGGACATGTGACAGTGTTGATTACAGGTGTGACCATACATGTGTCACTGTTTCAATACATGTACATCACACCTGCCAGGACATGTGACAACCATACATGTGTTGATTACAGGTGTGACCATACATGTGTCACTGTTACAATACATGTACATCACACCTGCCAGGACATGTGACAGTGTTGATTACAGGTGTGACCATACATGTGTCACTGTTACAATACATGTACATCACACCTGCCAGGACATGTGACAGTGTTGATTACAGGTGTGACCATACATGTGTCACTGTTACACTGCATGTACATCACACCTGCCAGGACATGTGACAGTGTTGATTACAGGTGTGACCATACATGTGTCACTGTTACAATGCATGTACATCACACCTGCCAGGACATGTGACAGTGTTGATTACAGGTGTGACCATACATGTGTCACTGTTACAATACATGTACATCACACCTGCCAGGACATGTGACAGTGTTGATTACAGGTGTGACCATACATGTGTCACTGTTACACTGCATGTACATCACACCTGCCAGGACATGTGACAAGTGTTGATTACATGTATGGTCACACCTGTGTCACTGTTACAATACATGTACATCACACCTGCCAGGACATGTGACAGTGTTGATTACAGGTGTGACCATACATGTGTCACTGTTACAATACATGTACATCACACCTGCCAGGACATGTGACAAGTGTTGATTACAGGTGTGACCATACATGTGTCACTGTTACAATACATGTACATCACACCTGCCAGGACATGTGACAGTGTTGATTACAGGTGTGACCATACATGTGTCACTGTTACAATACATGTACATCACACCTGCCAGGACATGTGACAGTGTTGATTACAGGTGTGACCATACATGTGTCACTGTTACAATACATGTACATCACACCTGCCAGGACATGTGGCAAGTGTTGATTACAGGTGTGACCATACATGTGTCACTGTTACAATACATGTACATCACACCTGCCAGGACATGTACACACTAAGAAAGTCAACAATCTCTATTAAAGTTGACATAATATTCTACATTGTGCAGTTTACTTGCCAAAGATGCCATAAACAATTCATCATTAGTGTTGCTGTGATTGGAATCATGAAAATTCATTAAAAATCTAATTTCCCAATGTTGAAACTATCTACTGCTGGTCTGGTAACACCATCTGATATCATCCAGGAACAAACAAGTTGGAGTACACAGGTACAAATACACTTATCTTACCTCACACATAAATGTCGCTTTCTGATTGGCTGAGCGCTCATCTATTATTTTCAATGTACCCCGCTTACAAGCGAGTAACATTTCAATGTACCCCGCTGTCAATGGCAACTCATTTGGTACTTCGTCGTAGTAATTCTTTATCTCGAATAGCATTGAATCACGTATGATGTACGGAAATTACCGATGTTTTGCTAATGCAAATCGATGGAAGGGAGATAAATCTGTTTTTCTTGTCAGCAAAATCTAGCAATGGCTACAAAAAAATTTGTACACGTGCTTCAAACAATTCAAAATTAACATTAAGGTGTTCGGTAAGATAAATACGTTGTTCACTGGTCCCTCGGGGCCCATGGGTTGATGTACCATTGATGTTTGTTTATGCCCTTTGGGCTCAGGGAACATAAACAAACATCGAGGGTACATCAACCCATGTCCCCCTCGAGACCAGTGAACAACTTATAATATCAAATCTCTTCTGATCATAACTGTGCATATATCCCTGGATAAAACAACAACCAAGCCCTATGAAAGGGCCGTGGGGGAGTGTACTGTTTAGCATGAAATAATTAAAAAAACGTAATCATTTATAGTTAAGTCAATTCTTCTCACAAACGATTCACAAATTTTACACAGAAAACTGATTGATGTAAATCAAATGTTTACTGTTATCATAATTGTGCTAGAATTTTCGAAGTCAGATATAACTAGATCCAACAACAAAAGTAAACAGTGGTATTTGCTGAACACATATTGTAGTGATGAAAACAGCACAAGCTGGCGTCCCCATATTTCCCTACATTGACACTGACAATCTGCACTTTCAAAGATAATTTCAAAGTTTACTTTTAACTTGAAATCTTGTGTGCATGGTTTTTATCCACATTTAAAATTTAACGAGAAATTAATGAGATTAGGACCCTCACGTGACTCTCACTAACTGAGTACCACAGGTATATGACACCGACACTTCATCTACGTGATCCTAAACGATCAAGTGTCAGAGCACAGTGATGTCTTATATTAAAAAGCATACAAATACGTGATGTGTGTCAATAAAATCACATGTCTTTAATCTGATATAACTAGCAAATAACATGAATCGAGGAATTTGCTCTATTGATTTTCAAGCATTATTTCTTTTCAATGTAAAACCAACACCTCAAAATATACGGAACAAACATAAAGGGTTTGCTGGATGTAAAACAGGTATCATCATTTTCAGTTGTAGTTTTACCATTCCTAAATGCATTCCAAAATTAGCAGGTACTAAAACATTGTACACACCTGTATTAGAATCAGGATCTTCATGTCTATAGACAACAACGCGTGGCACATAAAAAGGTTGGGACAAGTTCTAGGAACTGCAGGGGATTCGGCTCCCATATGTAAGGGCTGACCAACAGCCAAGCTGCAACTGATTAAACATAAAACTCTGCTATATGACGAGCACGGATGAAGTAGCTGTGGTGCTCTTGATGTCGGTGTCCAGTCTACGATGCCAAGAGAGTGTCAGACATGGCCGTGTAGCTCTTGACTCGAGAAAATATCAGTGGAGGAAAATTTTTGGGTTTCAAGTCAAAGTTGTTGATGACTTCTTCTCCTGTGGATCTGTGAAATGAAAGCATTAAGTGTGTAACTAGGCGTTTGAGATGACATGTATTTTGGGTTGAGGTGCACTGATAATTGTAATGGTCTGATTAAAAAAGGTTGCAGTGCCTGACGAGCACACACAAACCTTATTCAGAACTGAAATCCACAGGCCCATAGTACAAGTATATACAAAGTTCAACAGCAGAGTGGATTTCTCTTCAAAATAGCATGACAGATAAACAAAGCAATATTTTCAATAAGTATATGGTTAGAAGTTGACAATAGATAAATTTATGTTTTGACGGTTGTTTTTTGTATTGATAAATGAAAATGTTTATTATCAAGCCCAGTGTAAAGAATTGGGGCAAGCAATTTGTGAAATAACATTCACAGAGATTGGATCAAAGTTATTCCTCTATCTGACATATCTATATTCCAAAAGGCTCACTAAAACATAATCTGACTTACTTGTAGTATATCCGATTGAAGTACTTGCTCCACGCAAGTTTGGTGTGAGCTCTGCGGCCTAAGAAAGTGAGTTCAAATTCCTGAAACAAGAAATATTCACATTCCAACTACTGTACAGAAGAGTCACAGTTCTGATAACGTCACACTGCAGGGTGACAGAATTCGCCTACTCAGCAATATGCCTTTCTTGAGTATTTATACACAGTGTTAAATATATTCTCAAAGAAGGTTTACAAACTGGATTTGGTTGGCTGTTTGGTAATATACCATAACACAACATGCAATAAATATTCAGTCATATATTTTTGATGTGAAGAACAACCAAAGAAATTGCATCAAGATTATAATCTTAAAAGAAAGTCAGCTGTTAATTTCACATAGAAGATAAGACTGGTTGATAAATTTCTGAACTTTGTGGTAATTTTTTTATCATAAGAACCACAGGAACAGATCCTGGGGTGACTGTAGGTTTACTGACATGCTAGCCCAAGACATATAGAGGAAGTACCATCCCATAGATAGAGGATACTTAACTTGCTTCTGTGTAATACCATTTTTATTTAACGAGTTTAACAAAAATGGTATTTCACGGAAGCAAGTTTAGTATTCTGTTTAATACTCTCCAACATAAACTGATAGAAACTGCCTACAGTGTGATGACTCTCAGCTTTCTGCGAGTCAAGCAAGGTCTAACATCATTCAGACAGAGGTATTAGCATTGTGACGTCATAACTGTAAGCCATTATGATGTCATAGGTCTAGTGGTATTACACTAGTGCAATATTGACATAAAAATATTACACTGCAGTATCTTCCACTGTGAGTACTAATATTTTCTGTCTCTGTGCAACAACAGTTAAGAACTGAACAGTATTGTTCTCAAGGCCGAAATGTGCACACAGAATCTGCCGCCAGTACCTACCACAAAAAACGTGGACTCTCCCTCTGATTGGGGATTGGGCTGCTGCCGTCGCTTGTAGCGGTGATATGTGTTGTCAGTACCCGTTGAATCCCGCTTGAGAACTGCAGAAATCTGAGACAAACCATAACATATACATTAATTACTTACTGATATCCAGTTAATGAACATTAAAACAATTGCAGCAAATGAGTGTAGTTAAACTCCACCCTTGCTTATATCATAGCAGGTCATTTCAATAATGTGGGAAAGCCTAACACAATGCAAGACGTTCTCCACAAGCAAGCCTGGTGCTGATAGACAAAACTCATAACTGATAAAAATCAGGATTCAAACAACAAAACAAATATTGGCATGGTGACGGTATACTGAAAACTTCAAAGTTCACTGTCACCAATCAGACATCAACCTGACTCAACTTGTACAGCAGGATAGTGATCATTGCAGTCCAGTCACTCACAAACACTTCATCAGCAAGACTACTAAACATTCCCATACTACACCCGTGTTGAGTGAGTGAGTTAATATTTAACGTCACATCGGCAATATCTCAGCCATATCAGCTACACCCGTGTTGAAAGAACTGCATTGGCTACCAGTTAGGGCCAGAATTGACTTTAAGATCCTCTGTCTGACATACAAGTGCCTCCATGGTTTGGCTTCCTCCTACTTGTCTGAGTTCCTACATCCGTATATTCCCGCATGCAACTTGCGCTCAAAACACACAAAATCTACTGGTCATCCCATCCTAGATACTGAAATCATTTGGATACCGCTCATTCTGATATTCTGCACCTGTGCTTTGGAACTCTCTCCCTTGTGCCATTAAAAGCTCTGACACAACTGCCATCAAGTCCAGGCTTAAAACCCACCTTTTTTCAGCATATTACTGAAATAATAATTTCAACTGTAAAAACTCCAGTGTAAATATTCTGTAGCGGTTTGCGCATGCCTTAGGGTGTAGAATAGGCACAATATAAATATGCATTTATTATTATTATAAGTATCGTGCTCCATGCTATTTACCTTATTCTTCTGCAACTTGTAGTATCCACTCATGAGGCCCTGTTGCCTGAAGCTTCTGTCTCGCATCCGGGTGATCATCGGGTGACCATCGCCCTACAGGACAAAAATTGGATTCTCCGGGGTACACCTATTCGATCAGGATTGGACACCTCCCTACAGGACTGAGTTTAGTTTGATCAGCAATATACAATGGGGTCACCAGAAATGGGCAAACATGGGTAATGGACACTTTAACCATTCTATTCTGGAATCCACACAGGAAGACAAGCATGGGTAATGGACACCTATTCTACTGGAATCCAACAGGACCACAAGCATGGGTAATGGACACCTATTCTACTGGAATCCCCACAGGACCACAAGCATGGGTAATGGACACCTATTCTACTGGAACAAGAATCCCACAGGACCACAAGCATGGGTAATGGACACCTATTCTACTGGAATCCCCACAGGACAAGCATGGGTAATGGACACCTATTCTACTGGAATCCCCACAGGACCACAAGCATGGGTAATGGACACCATGGGTTGGACACCTACTGGAATCCCCACAGGACCACAAGCATGGGTAATGGACACCTATTCTACTGGAATCCCCACAGGAAGACAAGCATGGGTAATGGACACCTATTCTACTGGAATCCCCACAGGACCACAAGCATGGGTAATGGACACCTATTCTACTGGAATCCCCACAGGAAGACACAAGTATGGGTAATGGACACCTATTCTACTGGAAGGACAAGCATGGGTAATGGACACCTATTCTACTGGAATCCCCACAGGACCACAAGCATGGGTAATGGACACCTATTCTACTGGAATCCCCACAGGAAGACAAGCATGGGTAATGGACACCTATTCTACTGGAATCCCCACAGGAAGACAAGCATATTCTACTGGAATCCCACAGGACCACAAGCATGGGTAATGGACACCTATTCTACTGGAATCCCCACAGGACCACAAGCATGGGTAATGGACACCTATTCTACTGGAATCCCCACAGGAAGACAAGCATGGGTAATGGACACCTATTCTACTGGAATCCCCACAGGAAGACAAGCATGGGTAATGGACACCTATTCTACTGGAATCCCCACAGGAAGACAAGCATGGGTAATGGACACCTATTCTACTGGAATCCCACAGGAAGACAGGAATGACAATTCTACTGCATGGGTAATGGACACCTATTCTACTGGAATCCCCACAGGAAGACAGGAGCATGGGTAATGGACACCTATTCTACTGGAATCCCACAGGAAGACAAGCATGGGTAATGGACACCTATTCTACTGGAATCCCCACAGGAAGACAAGCATGGGTAATGGACACCTATTCTACTGGAATCCCCACAGGAAGACAAGCATGGGTAATGGACACCTATTCTACTGGAATCCCCACAGGAAGACAAGCATGGGTAATGGACACCTATTCTACTGGAATCCCCACAGGAAGACAAGCATGGGTAATGGACACCTATTCTACTGGAATCCCCACAGGAAGACAAGCATGGGTAATGGACACCTATTCTACTGGAATCCCACAGGAAGACAAGCATGGGTAATGGACACCTATTCTACTGGAATCCCCACAGGAAGACAAGCATGGGTAATGGACACCTATTCTACTGGAATCCCCACAGGAAGACAAGCATGGGTAATGGACACCTATTCTACTGGAATCCCCACAGGAAGACAAGCATGGGTAATGGACACCTATTCTACTGGAATCCCCACAGGAAGACAAGCATGGGTAATGGACACCTATTCTACTGGAATCCCCACAGGACCACAAGCATGGGTAATGGACACCTATTCTACTGGAATCCCAACAGGACCACAAGCATGGGTAAAGAGACCTATTCCACCCATGACAACCCAAAGTCAGCACAGGGTATTTTGTCCCTGTCGCAGCATGTGAGTCAAATCGAAAGTAACCCACAGGACCACAAGCAAGTCGAGAGTAACCCACCGTCAGGGAAGAACCGGACCATCCTGTAATAGTAGACCAGGTGGAATGGTCTGTAGAAGTTGTCCAGGCCTTGCTCTCCCTGTCTCACATAGCCAGTCCGGCTGATGTAACAACCTTCAATAACAACAGACACTGTAACATTCTTCTTACACTAAATAAGCAAAGCAAAATGGTACATGTAAGCATGTTATCACACCCATGATCACATATTATTCTCCTAAGCCTTATATTCATCTTCTCCTAAGCCTTATATTCATCTTCTCCTAAGCCTTATAATGATCTTCTCCTAAGCCTTATATTCATCTTCTCCTAAGCCTTATATTCATCTTCTCCTAAGCCTTATAATCATCTCCTCCTAAGCCTTATATTCATCTTCTCCTAAGCCTTATATTCATCTTCTCCTAAGCCTTATAATCATCTCCTCCTAAGCCTTATATTCATCTTCTCCTAAGCCTTATGTTCATCTTCTCCTTATGTTCATCTTCTCCTAAGCCTTATGTTCATCTTCTCCTAAGCCGTATAATCATCTCCTCCTAAGCCTTATAATCATCTCCTCCTAAGCCTTATATTCATCTTCTCCTAAGCCTTATGTTCATCTTCTCCTAAGCCTTATGTTCATCTTCTCCTAAGCCGTATAATCATCTCCTCCTAAGCCTTATAATCATCTCCTCCTAAGCCTTATATTCATCTTCTCCTAAGCCTTATGTTCATCTTCTCCTAAGCCTTATGTTCATCTTCTCCTAAGCCTTACATTCATCTTCTCCTAAGCATTATATTCATCTTGCATATAGACAAGAGAAACAAGTGAAACCAAATTTGGTTTTGTATACACATATTTTTCTGAAATCGTCAAGCAAACTTTACCATGGAACAGTGGGTGTGGTTTCTCAATGAACATCGTCCTCCAAGACCCGCCATACTTCCTGGGATGGCGAGTGTTCTCTCCCCAAACCCTGCAACAAACACACAGCAGCATGTTATTATCAAAATAAGGATGTGTAACATTCAGGATGATATTAGTTGTCATCTTCTACCTTCAACAGTCGGATACAACTTAGTGACGAGAGCTGACTTACTTCTCACAGGCAATTCTCCACAGCTCTTCATCTCTGGCACACACATAGAAGCCTCTGCACACCTGAAGATGGCAAAGGTAAATTCAGGTGAATACAAAGATAGGTAAATACATAGACATGGAGGTGAGGTGAGGTGAAATTGGGTTTTACGTCGTGCTTGAGAATATTTCGCTCATATGACGACGTGCATGCGTGTGTATGTGTATGTGCGGCTGCTTGTACTAGCCCAGACTGAAGCTGGTTTTATAGTGCTAGCTCACTGAGATACCATGCCGCAGTGAAGCATGAATACCCCACTCAGACACAATATACGGACTCCGAGCCGACCAGTCCTTGTTGTACCCATTAATGCCGAGCGCCAGGCAGGGACCAACAAGTACCATATTTTAACGTCTTTTGGTATGACGCGGTCGGGGATCGAACCCGTGACCTTCCGCTCTCCAGGCGGATGCTCTAACCACTACACCACGGAGGCGGTCAGACATGGAGGTAAATCAAACTAGTTGTAAATATTGAATATGCAGGTAAATGGAATATGGATCAGATTAATTTCTATAAAATATTGCACAGTCCTAAACCAGTATCTGCAAGCTCATTTTTAGAATTCACAGATTTTATATGTTTATCACTTGTAAGGTCAATAATCTGGGGGAATTCCAAGTCATGATAACGTGAAGATCCAGGTTAGAATTGATCTTCAGTAAACCATGCCTGTCGTAAGAATCAACTAACAGCATCGGGTGATCAGGCTCGCTGACTTGTTTGCAGCGTTAAACAACTAAACCAACCAAAGTCATGAGCTACAGATCCTGGGTTGACTAAGGAAGGTAACTCTGCACAGCTATTTGCAAGGCAAAAGACATGTGTGCCTGTTTTAAAACAACGGTGCTTGGACATATATGAAGAAAAGACGATGGTCTTCATGTTTATTTCTGAAGCAAATAGCATCTTGTCCACTGAAAACAAATGTTAATAAAGGGAGATAGCAATGCCTACCAAAGACAAGTTCTCCAGAGACCTAATGTCAAGGTCGTTTGAGACAACCCAGCGGAAGATGTAGATGATGAGTTCCAGCGGCAGAGATGAGATGTGTGTCGCCTGCAAGGGACAAAGCAACATTGTAACAACAGGTATAGTTTGGCATGAAATGCATGTGGACCCGGTTTTTTGTAAATATCTCTTCATCCAATGACCCAATCGATCTCAAACTGTGCAAGTGGATGTTTTGTCAGACAACCTAATCACATTGTAAATCACCGATTTTATGCATTTGTATTACAGAATCTGTCTATGTAACTGTCAACAAAATAAACAGCAGAACGCAGAAGGCTTGCAGAGGGGGGAGCCAATGACCTGTAGCAGCGGTAGTGTTGGGTCATAAAGGTCAATGTTCGTCAATGTAGGTCAGCTATGCTGATGACCCTGATGTCAAAAGAATCTAACTTTGGATGCCTACCTTTTTGTACAAGGTTTTGTTTATTGGTTGTTGGTTTATTTTTCACAATTGTTAGCACGATGTTCTTTTTCATGCCAAGAGCAAAAGTTGTACGTTTCATGTAATCCGACACCTTATAAATCGGTTTGCTATGTTTGCTCTCTTTTAAAAAAAAATTAAACACATTTCTAATTAAACGTTTAGCATCATCTGAATAAGCTTTCATGATGACAGCTAGAAGTAGTCAATGTGAATGATCCAAACGGTCTATCACTGTGCAGTGCACAAGTAACTATCATGAACTGCACGTGCATTTACCTTTATGACCCAACACTAACGCTGTTACAGGTCATTGGCTCCCTCCCTCTGCAAGCCTTCTGCGTTCTGCTGTTTATTTTGTTGACAGTTACATGGACAGATTCTTTAATACAAATGCATAAAATCGGTGATTTACAATGTGATTAGGTTGTCTGACAAAACATCCACTTGCACAGTTTGAGATCGATTGGGTCATTGGATGAAGAGATATTTACAAAAAACACCGGGTCCACATGCATTTCATGCCAAACTATAATACCAAACACACAGCAGTACAGTCAACCTATACACAGGGGTCAAAACTAAACCCAAACAGTCAATGTCGTGAAGCAAATGCTACAATCAACAGTTCAGGAGGTCCCGTAACTTTATACTTGATCTATAGCAGGGAATAGATACCCTTTTAATCCTGTAAATCACAACAGACAATGGGAATGCACATTTTGTAAATTTTGTTATCCTGGGGTTTTTTTGTATCAGCAACAAAGTAAAAAGTTTGAAGTTAGTAACATTATATTTTGTCAGTGAATTTTACAGAAATATTTTGTATAGAATAACATGACAGACTACACAATGTCATCCCAAGAGCATTTTGGCACAGACTATGTCCTGTTTCCTTTCTGCTTTTAGATGACAGCCAAATGATTTATCTGAAGCTTGTTCCAGCTGTACCCACCCTTTGTGGCAAGCTGGGCTGGCAGAAAGTCTTCTCTCCAACACTCAGCTCCTGTAACTGTGCCAGCAAGCATTCATCGTTGTCCTCGGACAGGGCCCTGGCATCAAACAACACAGACCTAACTACACAACACACACATGGATATATAAACTACGAACCAGAACCCCCTGGAGGTAATTTGTTTTGGTTTTGGTTCTTTGTGTGTTAAACACACTCAGCAACCTTCCACCTATATGATATGGTTTGCGTTGATGATGAGCACTGATGTATGAAACTGGGATACTATGACATGCATTCAGTTATGTAGCTGCCTCTTACAACAACTATAGGTTGCTTGGGACCAATGATAACAAGGAGTCTCATAACTGCTTGTGATTGCTTGAATTAGATTCCTTAGTAATTCTGGTGGTGTCAATTGTGTGACGAGCAAAGTGTTTAACCACGACACTACCCTATCACACTACCCGATTACTCAAGACACAGGTACCAGACTTGGACAACGTTATTAGAAAGCTCAGAAGCTAATAAGGCTGGGAAGGGTAAATCTGGAGCCAGTAGTACCCACAAGACTTCCCGTACACGTGGCCAGTCACTTGATGTATTGACAATACCAATACTCCATGATTACACTACAAGTCTCCAATGTTCACATTTCTATCTGACTATTCACTAGTGTTGGGAATTGGTTGAAAACTCACAATTAATGATTGCTTTCATTACCGACAAGAAATCATCGAAAAAAATTGGTTAGCGTCATTTCTCAGATTTTCCTATTCGGTTGTTATTGTAGATAAGTATAAATGATGCAACTTGCTACTTTAAAGTGATGACTAATATATCATGAACATAAACTTACCAGAGTCTTCAAGAAATATTCAGTCATAACGTTTGAGTTAGTGAAGTGGGTTTTCTAAGAATTAAACAAGTTTTAAGGCCCTGACAACTTCGAAGATATGTTCCATCGTCAAGTGTTTCAAAGACTAAAACAGTAGTTCCAAAATCGTTTGTGTGATCGATTACTTGGTCATTTGGTCACTGCGACCAATCTTCAATTATTTCAATTAGTCAGAACACCACTACTATTCACATATTACTTCTGACTTCTAGTTTCTGTAAATTTCAGTCTACTCATGAGCAGATCACCTTAGATGTGTATCTAAATAGTTTTACACCAGTAAAACAGTTCTAAACCTGACATTCCGTACCCAACTCCTGAGACTAACAGAGGATGTATCCCTTCCCTACATTGGTAATATGATGGGAGATGTCTCTACTATCAAGGAACCTCACGATTAATGCTGTCTCACTGTGTTCAAAGTGAACCAAATATCAACACAACACAATGTTTCAATATACATATACATGGACATTAATTTAGCTAAAAGTAAAATAATTGTCTTTAATATGGGTGGGCCTCTGTCAAAATATGAAACATTCTTCTTTAATGGGAATCCTATGGCAATAGTAAATGCATATAAATATTTGGGGTTAATGATAACGCCTAAATTGATATGGACTAGAGCCTGTAAAACATTAGCGGAGCAGGCAAGTAAAGCATTATGGCCTATAAAAGCATTGATCAGACGTTTTGAATTTATAGTAAAAGATGCGTTCTTTTTATTTGATAAAAAGATAACTCCAATTCTTACATACAGGGCTGAAATTTGGGGTTGGGAAGAAAGGACTTTGTTCTCCATATTAGTTATAAATCGTCGAATGCTGTATCATACGGGGAGTGTGGAAGATATCCACTTTATGTTTCCTATCATATTAAATGTATTAAGTATTGGCTACGATTGTTAAGAATGCAACGTCAAAGATATGCTTTCCAATGTTATAATATGCTGTTGTCCATTCTTGAGAGAAAAAGGCCGAGTTGGGCCAATCAAGTAAAATATTTACTTTTTCGTTATGGCTATGGTTTTGTTTGGATAAGCCAAGAGGTTGGGGATCCAGATCGATTCATTTATATCTTTAGTCAACGTGTTAAAGAATGTGCTTATCAGAACTGGCACTATTCTCTTCAGAGTGATTCTCTCTCGCATTTTATAATTCTCATAAGTCTTTGCTTAATTGTGAAAAATATTTGTTAAACATTAGTTCCCATGAGCATAGACGTGTATTAACTTTATTTAGAAGTGGATACCTGAGTAAGAAAAATGTCTTTACTAATAACTCCTACATTTGTAAACACTGTAATGTAATGCTGAATGAAAGACATGTACTGTATGATTGTGTATACTTTGTAACAGAGAGAAAGCGATTCATCCCAAATTGTAGTAGTGGTAACCATAATAATGTTTCAAACCTGTGCCAATCAAATAATAACACCTTTCTGTTAAATCTTGCTAAATTTCTTAAACATGTGTTTGAATGTATAAAACTAAAGAAAGTAACTCTGTAGAATCTTATGTTATATTGTACATTTGTACTTTGGGTCATATGGCCTTTCTACAAATAAACATCTTGAATCTTGAATATACATTTACATATCTGTACGCAATAGAAACAAAGCCAATATGAAGGCTCCAAGCATACCTATACATGTACACTCATTTGGGAAAGTTTATCATGATTTCTTGAAAATTTATATAACTGTAAAACTCACTGGTCTTCTAGTGATGTCTCACTGTCTTGTCTCTCTGCAATATACAACACAATAAATATAATGTATGAAATGTATGAGTGAGTGAGTGTATGAGTGAGTGAGTGAGTGTATGAGTGAGTGAGTGTATGAGTGAGTGAGTGAGTGAGTGAGTGAGTGTAGTTTACGCGGCTTTCAGCAATATTCGAGCAATATCGTGGTGGGGACACCCATGTGGGGAATCAAACATCAGTTGTCAGTTACTAAACAGTTGTCAGGAAAGCACTCTGGTCAGATAACAATGGCCCTGCCCACAACAAGGGGGACACTGAAAATCCTGTTTTCAGAAGAAAAGCTCCCTGCAAAGCACATAACTTGATAAATTGCAAGTACATGTACTATAATACTAGATGATTTTCAGTTGGTGATTCAATTTCTTATCAGTTTCAGTTTCAGTTTCCTGAAAATCTCACTTCGAAACTAATGTCCCCAAACTAACCTCACTCCCGTCACATCATAATTATTCACTGACTGAGACAGGGTCAGCTCTTCCATCTTCATATTCCTTTCCATGTCACCTATCTGCCACAAGGTGAAATAATCATTTCCATATTCCAGTCACCCGACATGTTGACAGTTAGCACGAAAACATTCAAATGACTTGTTGATTCTACCTCTAACCTGGTAGTTGAAGACTGCTCTCTTACCACATCACTGGCATGCAAACTTTCCTCAGTAAGAAAGATGGCCCCCTAAGTGTGCTACAAATCAGATATCCCAATCATAACTTGACTTTAATCTAGTTACACACCCTTGATCCCCCATACACCAGTCAAACAATTGCCACAGGGTGGTGGGGTAGCCTAGTGGTTAACGCGTTCGCTCGTCATGCTGAAGATCCAGGTTTGATTCCCCACATGGGTACAATGTGTGACCCTGCCATGATATTGTGGGGTTCAATGGCCAAGGCAAACCATCTCAAAGTTCTCATTTAATAGTTTGGTAACAATAACACACAGGATCACTTTCCAGTAAAAACAATGTTGAAAATATAGTTGCGGGCAACGATGAGGTCTCCTTGGCTTTACTTTCTATCTATCTATTGTATCTGAGGGCTAGATATCATCGTCCAAAACGGAGCCAGAACACATGTTTTGACAGGCGAGCAGATCTTCCAAATACAGCCGGGGTCACGGGGGTCATGTACCTTTTAAGTAGTTCCGGAGAAGAAATAGTTCCCTCTTTAAAAGGCTGTATCTCAGTTGTTCTTGGGTCTACGTTCAAAACAACTAGTGTTCTGGAATCACCAGGACATCATCTACCATACTGGCATTTTTGGGAGCAGAATTTGCACATTTTGCAAACTACTCAGATAAGTGCTGAAAAACATGGCCAAAACTGAAAACAAAATAACTGCCAAACGGTACGTTTTAGCGACTTGACCCGTCCAAGCAAAAGTGTTGGGAATTCGATTGTGCATCTGTACAAGAAATTTGGAAGTGTTGGAACAATTAGTTCTTGAGATATTTGCTGTCAAACGTTGAAATTTTGGAATTAATTTTGAATTATTTCCCCTTTGCTATTGGGCCAAGAGCCTAGAGGTTTTTAAGGGGAATATCTACACCTGGGTGCGCATCTGTGTGATTTTTTGTAAGCGATTCGGAGCATTGGTTTAGGAGTTATGTTTGGTACAAAATTCGGCGGAATATTAAATAATAATAATAATAATCCGAACGATTACAATAGGTCTCCTGCCTAGAGGCAAGGAGCCCTAATAATAACCATCTACTATAACAATGTCACATTTCAGGTAACACCTTCCCTGTATTCACTGCTATGGTATATATTCCGCAACATCACAGCATCTGTGGTGATCAGGACATAGTGTAACTGTTGTCTTTCAGATCTGATGTTTTTCCTGGTCATTCAAAATGTCCTCAACATATATTTCAAGATTGTCTAAGTGAATATGTTGGAGCATTCCTCAACAAAATTAGATCAAATCATGAAAATGTCCAAATTCAATATCCATGCACCTAGTTTTTGTTCGTAATTCAAACGATGTCTCACCTCTCTGTGATCTTACAGAATAGACATCGATCTTTGACTCAATATCTGGCACCAAATGCATGGCTTTCTTGTAGAACAGGATGGCTGAAACATGAAACAACAATATTGTTTTGATATTTCCAAATATAGTCATTCATGTCAAATATATTCATGTTTTCAATAACTGTTAATTTCCTGCTAGGGTTTCTCCATTCCTGTAAGATAATATCTAAGATCACCATGTTAACAAGGACAAAGCTATTATCACACATCAGTATATATTTAATCAAAAGAAACTCTTCAACTGGTAAATGACATGGCTAGGATGATGCTGAAATGAGACATCTATATCACCTCTTTTGCCCACGACATCTCCAAGAAATCCAACCTTCATTTGGACACAAGTTAACCTGTACCTAACCACCTCTCACCAAACTGTCACTTCCTCATTCAACATGAACCAATTATAGCCATGTACACATGCAGGTGCTAATCAGATCAACATCTACCTGGCCACCAGGTGATCAACAGAAATAACAAACACCTGTAATTGACCTGTAATCACACAATACCTCTTAATTAAAATGACCAAATTTGTTAGCAAATTCTGACTGTTTCAAGAAAGGTGTCATTAAGTAATTCCAGTCCATGCATGCATAGAGGATGTGTTTCATTCCCATTAACAATCATTACCCATACAATGATAAGCCAGATCAAGTTGTGGGCCCAAGGCTGATTTGAGATCAAAATTGTTTATTTCATGTAACAAACACTTGGAATAAATATTTAAGCCAAAAGGCAAAATAAAATTATTTGCCTTTAATGTCTTAAGTTCCCCTTCACAAACAGACATGAATAATTTTGTGGATTGGATAAACTTGGCCAGCTTAACCTTATTTCTGATGAAAATTTATGGGGTAATTAAACTTGACCCGTTCGCCACAGATAAATATGCATCTTGAATGTCAATCTAAATTCCCATTTGATCAACCAACTTAAAGATAATTTACCAATCAATCATTACTTTCTGTCTCACTTGTACACATGTATGTACATAAATTATATTTAAAGTTGTAAAACACACAGCCAATCATTCCATGATTTTGTCAAAATGTCTTCTTCACCTGTCAACCTTATCTATAAATGATTCTTGTTCACCCCTTTCAACTGCGGTCTGCGAACATCTTGAAGTCACACCTGCCTCAACATTGAACAAAATCCACGTCAAGGTTCTGGACATACCACAATCGCAAAGGAGGCCACATGTTATCCCATGAGGTCTCCGAACATCACTTTGAAATCCATGAAAACACACTGGCACCAAATCTAAACCATATCCATGAAGCGATTCAGCAGATTGGTCTACTACTTTCCATGACCTCAAAGTTGAGGTGATGGTCACCATTATCACCTGTAGGGGTGAATTTTCATATTGCGATATATTGCGATGCGGAAGCATATATTGCGATATGTATTGCAATATATTGCAAGGATTATTTTTTTTAACAAAAACTACTTATAATCGAGTTAATGCTTGATTATAAATCAAAAACACAACAAAATCACTATGATTGATTAACCTTTTATAAAAACTTTTAATCATGACAAAATAAAAATGTAAGTAACATTTGGCACTAATGAAACAGAGAAAAAAACAATTAAAAAAACGGAAATATCCGAAGATTTCCGAGTGTTACGAAGTTTTTTGATCAGCGTATTGCAATACGTATCGTTTTCATGTCTGAACCGGTAAATACTGGTAAACTGGTTATATTGAGCAGCCCTAATCACCTGGGGTCAAAAGTCAAAGAGAACTTGGCTCAAGAGCTAAATAAATCCATGGTTAGGTTCTGGGGATAGTCTGCTAACAGACTGACTGACAAAGCTTAGATCTAAGCTCACTGCTTTCCAATAGTTTATCTTCTGCTGCTATAAAAAACTGAAGCTGAAATATGATACCATTAAATGGCTTTGAAAACTGGCACAGAAAAGCAGCTTTAAATATGTTCCATGATGCCTGGCAAACCGGGATAAGTTGGTTTGGCGCAGAGAACGCATTTAAGAGCAGTGGCGGTGCAAGCAAAGAGGAAACCCATTTGGTTTGTGAAAGGTAGCGCAGATGTAGGCTAGTGCACGTGCATTGCATGACGATGAAATTGATTCTGTGCGTAGCTGTCGAACTCGGTGTTTGCTGAGACAGGCCGAGGCATCACCCATCGCACTACACATGATCGCGGACAACCTGGGGCCCCTTCACTAACAATGGCAAACGCCACTGGGCTGCACTCATGCATGCTAAAACGGGCCAGTTGTCAGGTCGGTGTTCAACATATCCTTGTTTGCCAGTAGTGTTCAGAATTTGACATTTTTGCCTTACTCCACAGTCAACATGGTCAAAAACAGATCATAAAGAAAATATTTGTAAGACGTAACAGAGTACAAGCAACTAATAAAGAATCCTGTTTCAGATAGATAATAGTTAAGTAATAGATACATACCTTCATAGAACGCACCACTCCTCTCTGCCTCACTTCCCAGCAAAAACAAGCGAGTGGCCTGAAACGGTCACATGTATTTGATCATGTTGATACAGGTTCTGTAACATGAGGGTTGATGTGCGTGAAGCAATATTCACTATTACCATACACTGATACTATTCCAGAAGCATAATGTGAAGTTTGAACATTTGCCAATATACCAGCTACATAAAAACAGACTGTGAATAATCCTGCCTGGACAAACCAGTGATCAATCGGTGAGCACATCCACAACTTCAGACTATGAGGACATACAAGGAACTGTGCCACCGAGTCCATTTTGTCACCTCTATGACCAGCATCTGCTGATAGAGACCTAATCTAACCATGATTCCGCATAAGGTGACTGGAAAATACTATCTAAACAAACATAAAGTAAGCAGTAATGTCTTTAAAACACAAACTGGTTGATATCAATAATGTCAACATGCATATGTAAAAACAGAAACAGCAAAATGTTTTCACATATACTGCGAATTAGAATCTATATATGCACTCATGTGTGAGGTAGGTGCATTGCAAAGCCCTTACTGTGACACCCCTGATGCCAAACACTCATGATGACATCACTCTTGTGAACCATGATAGGATGATAGTGAAAAAAAAGAATATATGTCAGCACTTTCTTGAAATAATTATGATAATGTAACAATATAGTTGAATATACTTCAGTTCTTTAAAATACACCAAGTATTAAATCGCAGATACATATCTAGTATGTTGTGACTATTTTTTTAGTCAGCATGAAAAGAGCTTTTAATATATTTTATTTTAATATTCATCATCTATGTTACTTTAGGTTGTGGGTGAATATCCTGTTTTATTACATGCACTGAATTTGTAAATAGTAATGACAGCTAGTAAAAATCAGTGATTAATCAGATATCCTCAGCTGCTCAGTGCTGCAGTGATAGATTGCTAGTGCTCAGAATCAATTCTTGACAATTCAATATGACATGTCAATTAAATATCAACCATTACACATCAACACACAAATCATTACCATATTACCAGTGATAATAACAACGACAATAGTATCTGATCATGATGATCAACTCGATCTTACTCTGGCTTCTAGCACTGAAAGTCAGACTGAATAATCTTGAACAAATTAGTGAGCGATCCATCTTTGGGATATGGTCAAATGTAAAAGAACAAATGACAAAAGTCAAATTTGGTCAATATCTAAAATATCACAAAAATATAACATATGTGTTGGGCCCCACTCCTAACTACACACATAGGACATTTCTTTCCATTTTGGAAAATATAATAGCTGAGTAATGGCCATGAATAGTTTTTTCAACATGGCTACTGTCACGATTTCAAAACCGGATTCGAATATCAACAAACTGGGATGTTATCATGTGTGAAAGTGTTTGAAGATTCAGCTTCCATGGTCCTGGTTGTTTCTGAGAAAATGTTACAAAGCACAACGGATAATATGCTTACTTGACTTTCAATCAGGGAAGCTAAATTGGTTCACAATTTGAAGTCATTCCCTCAAAGTTCAAAACAATATCCAAAAGCCTATATGCTCACAAACTAAGATCATCACAGTGTATAATCATTGTGCAAGGTCATCTGTTTTGGTATTGAGAACCCAAAAGCAGAAAACAGCAGTTGTGTTTAAGGTATTGTGAAGTGATTGGCAGACATCCCAGCTTTAAATAAAATATTCATGAAATGGGAATTCGTTAATATCTTTCCCTGAACTTAATCATAATTCCATACATTCAAGCAGAACAAGTGAACACAAACACCTTTTTCAGATTTTGTATGGGCCAGTAATTTAGTACAAAAGAAACCAAAACACACTAAATATTGATGGTCATACCTCTTTTTCAATGGCCTCTTTCCCTTTCAAGGCATGATTGTGACCAAGCTTCTGGCTACGGACATCTTCCAACTCGTTCTTCCACTTCTCTCGGAAGGTGAACAGCTCCTCTTCCAAGCTGGGAGATTCCCCTCTCCCTTCTTCCCGTTCCTCCTCATTAACACAAGGAGTGGGCAAGATTTCATCAGACTGGAAAAAAATGGACAACATCCATGATCTGCTAATGTTGAGCAATCTCAAGAAACAAGTCATGTTTTCAACATACATTTGAAGAGAATTCACAAAACAAAAAGATGATGTTTTATGTTGAAAAGAGAAATATGTTAATACCATATACCTCAATTATCTATTATACTGCAAAACTGACTAGATCTAGTGAGATGCTTGGGCTTAAATCCTTGAACCATATTATTTTCTCTTAAGTCCATCTCTTTTCCCAATTAAATAAACCAAATAAAACTTTGCCTCAAGTTCTGAATTTTCCATCTCACCGAAGCTCCTTTTCATTTATAATGGAGATTTTTGTTTTTATCAAAAATATATATTTTCAAAGGATAAGAGCCAGTCTCATACCCAATAAACATGATAAAAGTTCAATTTATTTTACTTATAAGAATTCAGTTGAAGTTATCATGCTGCCCTCCATATTCACTGTACTACAGCTTGACCATGGAAGTATGTACCCTCTTGTCTTGAGGACTAGAAAGGGTTAATAATGCATTTTACCAGATGGCTTCCACCACTTTATTAAAGTATGAGCACTATTTAATGATCTGCAATACTTAGCATTACAATATAATCATGTTTGGGGGGCTTGCCCCCACAATACAGCTTGAAATACATGCTTTCAGAAGACAATGCATTTTTAGGTAACTCAAATAACTGAAAAATATAAGTTTCCTCAAATGTGGCCCAAGGGAATATCACTGATGAGGTTTTTGCACATTATTAGGAAACTTCTATTTTTGAGTATGTTTTTTAAGTGTAAGTCCAATCTTTTATGTTCATGAACTGCTTTGGTGATCAGTATGCTGACGTAGTCATAAAAACACATTTTAGAATACTAAAATTCTGTTTACCTTTAGCTTTATTGACCAATGTTTCAAATAGTGACACTGCTATGTTGAAGCTACTAGCACTGTTATATGTGGCTACATAAGTACTATACAAAATGCACTGCAGTTAGGTGGCTTATAACATACATGTGTACAAGCCTGCACCATGTTAACAGCATCCCACTGAAAGAAACTTACTCTTAACAATATGCCAGTGATTGTAATTCATGCAACAGCTAACAAAAATGTCACTTCCCTGTTCATGTAATGAGGTTATTTCCCAAATGGCTACTAAGTCGTTTTAAGAAGATATATCCTACATGCAACAACAACCAAATTGACAAACAGCTATCACTTCCGATTACTTTTGCTGACATAACACGTTATCTCAAGCCAACAAGGAAACAATTCATGAGCAACATGTATTACGAGTCCCCGGTCAGTGAAGTATCATCATACACCATAAACAACTGATTTCATGAAACATCAAAAGTTAATAAAACACAACAAATGACCCGTACAATATGTCTAACATTATGCAATACAGAACGTCTCAGTCAATGGTTCTTAAAATAGCTTTATATATGTTTCGGAACAATATGGCAAGATAATTTGTTAAACGATATTTGGCTTTTGTGCAATGTGTTTCGATGTTTTTAATGCACAGAAACATGATTACAACTATCCAGGCCGACTAGGACGACTATGTTATTGTGCGCAACCGGCCTCTACGCTAAGATGCAAAGTTCAACAGCGCGTGGAGCGCAAAGTCAAAAACGATGTCAACATGTTTTCTACTTGGAAGAAGGTCACAATGTTTAGACGAAATTAAGCAAAAGTAACGATTAACAGGCATCGACATGTCGATATTTTAATTCTCTTACCATCTCCAAATATTATAAAAGTGGAGATACTTCAAATAAGTAGTTCTCTGAAGGTATAACAGATAACAATTGAACAGGCAAAAATTCTTGATCGTCTGACGGCAGCCATATTTACTTCTCATTGAGGTGATAGAGTAACTTCCCCTTGAGTGACTCAGCTCGACGAGCGCCACCACAGCTAAGCTAAGCTGGGCCCCGTCTCGCAGATATAAAATGGTCTCTGATATAATATTGCGACGGGACCAAGTTAACATACTCCGTCATGTGCCCAAATCTGACTCATACACGGTTACTTCAACTTTCATTTCATATGAGCAGAGACCATGTAGTAATAATTAATCATATGATCTCTGATATGGGCAGGAGATTTTGGACAGAATTTCGTATCTGCCAATTTTACTCATGTTCCCTTGGGATTGCAATTTTGGGATCCATATCAGAGGGGATACAGCTTTTTGAGAAAGTGGGGATGCACACTTCATTTTCACCCTTCTTCACCGGTCAGTTAATAGACTTTCAGGACTAAAAGAGGGTGTGCGCAAACACACACACACTCTCTCTCTCTATCTCTCTCTCGGCTTTTGCATTCTATCTGTAGTTTGCGGTAGAGAATAGGCTTTGTTTCAACATTGTCTGGAACTAGCTCCATTGGTGTGTCGTCTGCTTTTGCATTTCCATTAACGTCTACACGACCCACAATTGCCCCTCAACGATAGTTTGGTATATTTGTAAAGAATATCGTTGATTGTATTTGGTGTAGAAAGAATTCAGTGAGTTTGATATACGATGACAGCCTTTCCTTACGGTAGTTGGATATGAGTTTGAGAGTGTGACCAACTGTCTGAAGTGTAGTAGTGAAAACAAACTGACCATAAGCGCATCGAATGTATTCATTGACAGCATATGGATCCCGTAGCGAAAATTCTTGTTGACTGGATTCCTGGATCTGCCGTTGTATATGCGAGTCCATCTGCCCATCTAGTTTGGAATCTGGTGATAGTGACTTATGGTAGAACTAAAAGTAGGCACGACTTTTCTTTTTCAGTAATTTAGGGTGAAAGACATCGTCAGCTTTGGGAGTTCAGACGTTCAGGGTGGTTGTATACTTTGCAGTGGCTGAGAACATTACAATGTTGACTTCGTTTGAGATGCTTACCCCGATGACTTGGCTAGGATCTTTTCCGGACTACGGTTTCTTCTCGGGTGTCTGTTTTTCAACAAATTTGAGGTTCCTCGCCACGACGATAATATTGCCTGCTCCCATGAAGTTTCAATTCCACTGAGTTCGCCTGTTTTCATTGGTTCCAATAGAGTTTTTGCCTTCACCCTCTACACTGCAGCAAAATAGCAAGATACAGGGTTCGGCATATGGCCTATTTGTAGTGATTGTACTGATGTATCAAGGTGAGGTGAGGTGAAATTGGGTTTAACGTCGTGCTTGAGAATATTTCGCTCATATGACGAAGTGCATGCGTGTGTATGTGTATATGCGGCTGCTTGTACTAGCCCAGACTGAAGCTGGTTTTATAGTGCTAGCTCACTGAGATACCATGCCGCAGTGAAGCATGAATACCCCACTCAGACACAGTATACTGACTCCGAGCCGACCAGCCCTTGTTGTACCCATGAATGCCGAGCGCCAGGCAGGGACCAACAAGTACCATATTTTAACGTCTTTTGGTATGACGCGGTCGGGGATCGAACCCGCGACCTTCCGCTCTCCGGTCGGACGCTTGATGTATCAAGACAGGTTTTTGATGACGCACGAAAGGTGTCACAGCCGAAGTCTACTTTTGGTGTGACCAGAGATTTTTACATGTTCAGCCGAGGGTCTCCAGAAGCTCCACAACATGTGTCTGAAAAAGCGCGTAATATGTGACGTATGTTTTCAACATATTCCGTATTTACTTTAAGTATGGTGGCGATCGAGTATCATCCCTGGACATTAATATTCGAATTTGTTTGTTTGTTTGGGTGAACCTTTTGCACCTGTGAAATCCGAGGCGTGAAACCATCGCACTATGAGCTGTTGATTTGAGTGGAAAAGCTGGAGTTTAAGCGGTAGCCTAACTTCAATTAAAACCACCAGGGTGCCGTTCCACTAACCGATCTTAGCCCTACGCAAATCGGTGAATGAGTGAGTGAGTTGGGTTTTACGCCCCTTTTAGTAATATTCCAGCAATATCAAGGCGGGGACACCAGAAATGGGCTTCACACATTATACGGGGAATCGAACCCGGGTCTTCAGCGTGACGAACGAACGCCTTAACCACTAGGCTACCCAAAAGCCCCGGGTGAGCAAGATTCAGAACACACGTCGGGGAAACTGTTTTTAAACATGAATGGTGATAATTGAGTGCGTGAGTGAGTTTAGTTTTACGCCGCTTTCAGCAATATTCCGGCAATATCACGGCGGGGACACCAGAAATGGGCTTCATACATGAGACCTTGTACGCATGTGGGGAATCGAACCCGTGACGAGCGAACGCTTTAACCACTAGGCTACCGCACCGCCCCGAATGGTGATAACAAAATAAAAGTCCTATGAAGTTTATGATTCTTGTCAACACAACCCAAACTAGTGGGCTTGTGCCTGTCTGGTATAAGGCGTCTAAGCGGACACACACTGAAATAACGCGAACGTTGGAGCAGTTTTTCAAATCATGATTTAAATAATGGGAAAATGTAAGTGAAGAAACATAAATAATGATGCATTTCTACAAGAAAAGATAAACCGAAGTAAAAAAAATATTGGCCCGGGATTGTATCTCTGGTTTGACATGGTATTAAGCATTAAATACTACTCCTGAACATTTTAAGTGAGTGAATGAGTTTAGTTTTAAACCACTGAGTAATATTCCAGCAATATCACGGCGGCTAAACATTTTGAGGTGAAATGCTGCTGACGCGGTTATGGGTTGCAACTGCAGCAGAATATTGCAGATGCTAGTAACAGGGGCGGGCATGCATATTTTACCTGAATATCTGGTGTACTGATTCTCTGGGATCAATTCCTAGTTTTGATCACTGTTCCTCTTTGTCTCCAGTCAGATTCTGATTGGTTAACCCTGGTGTTGACGTTTCAGGTATCCTTTTATTTATTAAGGTAGCGCATTTACATCGTCGTGAAACCCATATTTTCATCAGGAATCTCGAAGGGTTAAACTTGCTGTCAAAGCTGCAATAGCTTCCTGTGTTGGCTTAGCTGCCTCAGGTCTTCAGATAATTTTTCATCATCATGAGTACGTACTCCTTATTTGTTCAATATAGGAGTACTGGAAAACCTCAAAGTGTACATTTAGAGTACTAAATGGAAATTAATGGAGTATCAGTAATCTTGTGTTTCGTTTCATATATGCACCACAACATTACTACTCTTGCGTAAACAGGTCAATAAACAATACTTTTTTAGATAAATACGTCTGTAAATGATTCTAAGGTCGTACACCATTGCTGTGGTGCGTATCTGCTACGTTTTCTAAATTATTTCCTACCGTATCGTGCATATTTTTTATCCGTACATACGCAGTCTACGCCGAGACAGCCCTTATCTGGAGCCCTGCCGCCTTGCAGTAATCATTGGTCTTTCCTCCACTGTTCCGCCGTGACCAGCAGCTGCTTCAGTATACGCCTCCCCTCCAATGCATATTCACAAGACAAAGTCTGGTTCACAATCATATGATAACTTTATTGTCTATAGCAAAACACGGCTTCTTACACTTGTACAATCTTTATACAGCATGTACATTTACCAAAGCTACCAGTGGGGTTGTAGAGTTTGGCAAGACTACATGATGCAATGGATGAAATAGACTCTTTACAGCTGGTTCGGCCCTTGACTCTCACAATGTAGATGTGAACTCCCCCAAAACGATTCATACATTTTTACAAGAAAAACAGCAGTTACTGTTAAATAGGGAATAAAAACCTGATAAATATACATGATTTGTATCAGACAAATATACAGAAGCTAAATTACATTACAATACACATTGAACAATATACAAGTATGATTTATCTTTCTGTTCCAATCTACAAAACATACATGCACACAATGATATATGAATAATGGCAAACACATACCTAGTCAAAGGGGAAAATTCAAGGCAAATAGAATATCTAGATAAACACATAGCACTATCTTACCAAATACCCCTGCTTTGTTGGAAGAATCATTCATGGTAAGGGGTTGAGACAAATGGCATTACCCCAGGGAGTTGAAAAAAATAAATGTTATAGAAAACATTTCGGCATGCTACATCAAGTCTATCCAACACCTCTACAGCATATCAATTTGGGCCCTGTGCTGTTGAAAAATAAAACATCAAAGCATGGACATATTAAATATGTAAGAAGGTAAAATGTTAAATCCTTGATTAAATGTGTCAGAAATTAACTGTCAAGTGCCTTTAGGACAATATCAGACCACTTCAAATCAAATTGAGGTTAAAAAATATATATATATATATATTTCACACAAGCGTCAAGCCATAGGTAATAGAATTTCTCTTGACTTAAACAAGTCAGGACAAGTTAGGAAATACAATTCTAATTAATTTTATTGAGAAAAGAATAAGCCAGGTATTTCTTCCATTTAGTTCCACAGTGACTAGATAAATATTTCCCAGATGAAAAATGTGAAACCATACCACTGAGACTCCAGTGCAAAAAGCCCTTTTCTCAAGAGCTTATAAAAAAAATAAAGAGTAGAAAAAGAAATGCAATCTTTGAAGATATGTTACAACCAAAAATGCTACCTCGCAAGACATTCTGTCTATGATAAGAAAACAACATACACAAAATACTGAGAAATGTATTCAATGTAACCAATGGTTTGAACAGCTGAAAATAACAGGTCCCAATTTTAGTGCAAACTTAGCACAACTAGAATAAAATTTGAAAATACTCAAATTCATTGGTGAAAGTTAGTGACTTTTGTACAAATGATGGGAAATGTTTCCTGGGTTTTAATAACGAAAGTGATCTCTGTACATATTAATATATAAAACTGTCAGATAGCAAATCCGATTTACAAAATGTACATTTGTACACATGTCAATCTACACGAGAGAGTAATAATGTACACCTGCTGCTGTTTATTTCATTTGGCCGACTATTGACAAATTTCACAAAAATATTACAATACTAACTACAGATGAGTGCAAAAAATGGGAAAAATATATGAAATATTACAATAGGATATATGATTAAACACAGACAACGTTATTAAATGCAACATAATAATATACACCTATGCCTCCTGTCCCACAATCCTGGGGCACTGGGTAGTAGCAACAGTCAGTCATACACCTTTCAAGGGCAAAACCTGATTACCAACATTGACCAGTTCACCGACTTTACCCAATACCACTGCAAGGGATTCTAACCATGCTGTGAGCTTGCCAAGTAGACAGAATCTTTCAAGTATAGGCACAGGATATTAAATAGCATACATTGGAATGTTGTTAATCAAGACCCTGAACTATTCCAGTGTGTAACAATTTGTGCAGCTTTTGACATATGCAACACAAAAAGAAGAGTAGAGAGCAGTTATCTCCCCTGCAGTGAGATTTGAATGAAAGTCGGCAGGTCTAGTCTAGCGGTTTATCAGGATGGACTATCAGAGTTTCATTGAGAAATGTGCCATATTCACAAAGGATGGTGGAGCTTCAAATTTACATAGTGATACTTTCCTCGTTCAGACGAGTCCCTCTGTACAAGATTATTTGATGTTTCAAATCTAATAGGTTTTAATCTTATCCTCTATATATAGCACCAGTATAGTTTGTATCTTTACACTGCGGTTACACCGGCTTCTTTACATTTGTACAAGCTGATAGAAAATTAAGGCCATTGAATTCCTATGCACATAATGTTACAAAAGTGATTTTATGAACATAACCATTACAAAATACTTGAATCTCTCTTTACAAAAAGGTGGGTAGCTTACAAGGAGAGTGTGTGTGGCATACACGCAGGTTAGATGGGAGAAATTTACATACAATGAATTGGCCACCATGATTTTATACAAATCCTTCTATACATTGTTCTGTCTCTATTTACACTTTACACCTTAAAGGTTGGTTGGTACAACCTTATTTAGTTTCTGGTGACAGCTGTACAAGCAGTTGCATAGGCAGTGATGAACAAGTTGGTTTAATATATGCAAGTCCAAAAAGAATTCATCTCCGTTGAAATTTGTTTCTTTGTCCACAATGACACTTGATTGCCAAAATGCACAAAAACAGTGCTACTGCCTTCAGGACTTGGTTATGAGAGATGGGTTCTAGGCAGGATGACTGTCCAGTTGAATCAACAGGAAGTTATCTATTTGTGTCAATCCACTGAATCAGTAGTTTTTAGAGGTGTGACGATACAGAAAATTCACGATACATATTGCGATATCTTGAAACGATACGATTCTATTCGTTGCCATATCACATGATATGCTTTCTTTAGTTATTTTCTTTAAATAATCATATCTTAATAGCAAGAAATTTTGACATAACCATCGATATCTAGTGAAAATTAACAATTTTAAGGTCAACAATACGTATCACGATTCGAAAAAACGTATCGATATATTTATCATCAGTTAAAGTATCACGATTATCGATACTACGATATATATCGTCACAGCTCTAGTAGTTTTGTACAAGAACTGTACTGTACCTTAACAACTTGAACTGACAGGACTTACTAAAATAAATGTATATGATTGGTGCTCAGGCAGTGGGTACAAGCTTACATATCCTAAATACAATATCTAAATTGCTGGTTGCAGGACAATTCATTTTTCACATGGGTGGGTAACTGGAACCCAGTACTAAAATAACCACTGCCTGAGAACCAATTTTTGTACAATTTCTTGGCCCTGTAAAAACTTGCCGCACTAATTTCATCACTTTTCCACTTCAATCCTAAATACTTTGATATTTAAAAATATCACTAGTTGATTGACAAACAAAATATTGATGTGAAAACAAGTTGATGCAGAAAATGAAGTACATTGTCAAAATTCCTATTTCTTTACATTTTATGTTAAGTTTTTTATATGTAAACATTTACACAGCGAGACAGATCGCATGTTTGAAATGGAAATTGTGAGATTTGTACAAGTTTATGTTGGAGATGTTAATGATCTCACCTTAACATACATCATCAGAATGTAAACACTATTGTACAATGTTATGGTTTGAACACTATAGTTTTACACATCTAAATATATATTACAGTCTTCTGTTAAACTCATGAAAATCAGATTTTCGGAGACAACATTCAAAGATTTTTTTTACAAACCAGATCTTTTGGAGAAAATGCTAAATTGTACAAATGATTTTCAAGTCGTTTGACAATGTTATATACAATGAATCCGTTTTTCAATAGATACACAATACAGAACAGTTGCCTGTAGTCATTATTTGATTCTAACACAACATGCTTTTTGATTCCAGTTGTCGGTAATGGATGGATGTGGCATACTTTGGCATGAAAATTTCCCAGACAGACAGACAGAAATAGAGAATTATTTGTCAGTTATAAGAAGAATATTCAGTGATCTGTAATATCTCTTTTCACTGGCTCTGAGAAACTAATGATATGAATGAAGACATGTCCAATTCTGACACATCCACACAATATTACTAACAGCATTTGTCAAGTCTAAATCAAGATCATTCGTGCAACTATGTAGGTAGAGAATCCATACTCCATGCTTCAGTCAACCACACAATGACATTTCGTTCCATTCATGAAATCTTTATAAATTTGAGTGTCAATTATTATTCCTGAATTCCAAGTACATGCTTACGTTTGATCTACACAAGGGAGGTAACTGAACATAGGAATTTCAGTGCATGCTGATTTATGAAAAGGGAAATGGCATTGCACCACCTGAAACATGAATGTCTTTGAACTAGATTAGTACTTGGGAAGATTCCCTTGCTTGGAGTATGGATAACATACCAACAGACACTATGGCAGCTGCACACAAGTTTTAGTTTGACTGATCACCGAGTTGATTCAGTTTATTACCTGCCTTGTTCCAGCTACCCTGTTATTGTATCTTTTCTATATACATATTAGCAGAGGAACTAAAGGTCTTAAGTAGTCCGTCAATTTCTCAATAAATCAAGATCTTTGGTTGAAGAGGGTATGAATGTACAAATTTACTATGGAGATTTTCACCTATCTATTCTGCAGAATCAAGTGCAGATGAGCTTTTGACCTTACCCTTTAAACAAGCGAGTATACGGATTGGAAGCCAACAAAATGTCGCTTTGTAAGTAATTACGAACAACTTGTGCATAAGGAGAGAACATAGCTAGAAACACTTACTCTAGAATTCTCAAATAGGAACTGCTAACTTCATGTATATACTTCTACAAGGACAGTTTAAGAAATAACTTTAGCAATATCCTGTGTAACTGCAAGGTCAGCAAATGTGAACTGGCTCAATTCTCCCTCTTCCTACTCAGTTTGGCCCATTGACTATCTTCTTTGGGAGTGGGGGAGGGGGGGTGGGGGAATAATCACTGAAAAATGTACAACATTCACAACAACATTAATAAAGAATTGCAGGTGCAGTAACCTCCTGGGCGGGTCCAAGGTTCCGAACGGGCCCTCGCATCAATGGACTTAATACCATACAGAGGTAAGGAACCAAAAGTTACCATAGTGATACATGATTATCGGTCAAAGCACCACTCTCAAAATAGGGACTGACTACCTCCACCTTGAATATCGATTAATTTAATTCAAACAATTTAAACTGTAAATTCTGCCCTTAATAGTCGATTTCAACTCTTACTCGATCAAAGTGATTCCTAACAATGCTGGAACCTGCAACTCTGCTTACTACAGTTTGAGCCAGACATGCAAGTACTATCCTCTGCCCAATCAACAAACCCACAAAGGCACTAGTCACACAAGCGACAACAAGAATATAATGGATTATATAGATACTGTCACAAAATCTACCTATGGATGGTTAAGAAAAAAGCAATGAGAAAACCCCTAACTAGACCTCCCAAACTGTGTAAACAAGTAAAATACCACATTAGTACAAACTACTATTGTAAAACCTGGCTTGTGAGCGAGCATCTCCTTCTTCAGGCTAACTGGTCATTTGATTCTCGCTCCACAAATTTAGTTAGCAAAATTAATGCAAAAACAAAGTAGAGAAAGGTGAAAGCAAAAATAGAATATTCTACCGAATCTCATTTCCGAGAAACGGATTTCCAAAAAAGACAAGTCAGAAGAGTAACATTAGTATACACTGGGAAACAGACAAAACGGGGGGCTTTGTTATTCAACAGCAATCTTATTTCTATCTTTGCAGAAATACCCAATACAGAACTATTCCATGGGTGAAAACACAGGATTCGTCTCTGGATCCCAGTAGTATGATCTATTTTACCCTTCAGACACAAAAATTAATGCTCTTCACGGAAGTGCTCCATTTGGGGGCATTCCAATGGGTCCCAAGTCAGAGTTGTTTTTCAGGAAGAACTTTTCTAGTTTGGCAAGGATATGCTTGCCATACGTGTATTTCCGCAAGGTACCAATGTGGGGACGGATCTTGTGCATGAGTATCTTGCGCTGCGGTGGTTCTGCCACATCGATCATCTTCTGCACAACATAGTTCGCAAACTGATCCTTCATCATCGTATATAGTGCGCTGAAAAAGAAGACACATCTTAGACATGCTTTGAATATATGGAAAATAATCTGGAGCAGACAATTATGTGAGTGACAGTTCAGGAAGGAACCTCGCCATCTGAATGTGACTGAGACTGCCCATTTGGATACTAATTTGTTGACTTAGACGAGTACAGTCAAGTAACAGGAAAACAGTATGGAAGACACAAAATCTTCTGAGCAAGCAACTGATAAACAATCACCAAACATTCTGGTCAGTCCAAGTAAAGAGATGGAAGAATCTCCAATGAAAAAAATGCTTGCATTACTCTCGCATAATTTCATCATACACCTTTTGGTTTCATTAGAGATGTGGAAGGATAACAGAGATGCCAACCCTAGTTTCGCCCAAATTGTATTTTGGCCAAAAAATGATGCAAAAATTAGCATTTTTGGCCAAAATTTGTGTTAACATTGTACTCACCTAAATCAGTAGTAAGTATCCACTGACTGACTGACTATGGTTTTACGCTGTTTTTAGCAATATTCCAGCAATATCATGGCCGGGGACACCAGAAATGGGCTTCACAAATTGTAACCATGTGGGGAATCGAACCCAGGCCTTTGGCGTGAGCGGCGAACCACTAGGCTACCCCACCGCCCCAGTAAGTATCCACACATAGCTTGATACTGAATAATACGTGGTTGAAATTTATAGTGTATGGTACGTATGCTATTCAATAATTTAATTTAATGTATTATTTTTAAAAATTTGTATATTTTTACTGCTATCGTAGTATTCTGTGTTGCTTTCTTGTAACGAACACAATAAAATCATATGGGTTGGCATATCTGGGATAAACATTTCTTTTCAGGTCTGATGAGAAAAATCAAAATCCCCCACTAAAAATATTCACAAATTACAAGTTCTGTTCTCTGCATGGCTTGTCTCCCCTGTCACAGCCACAAGGGCTCAGAGAAGTCTATGGAATATGCAGAGGTCAGCCCACACCCAAACAAGTTTAGGGGACTGGTTTTCTCTCCAACATTGTGGAAAGGGAATATACCTCACACCCAAAATGGGCACTCAGCTCCCATTTGCCACAAAGACAGAGCCACAGTCACTGAGGACTATGGATGTCAATGTTGGTGTTGCTCTTGTTCATAAAAACAGTCGCCACCGAGGCGAAAAGCTAATCTGAACAAAGTCATAGACTTTTATCATACCTATTTGTTCTCCCCTCTTACAATAAATCATATCAAGCCGACCCAGCATGGGTTTAACATGGGTAACTTAAGATAAAAAAATATCTAGTATAGTTGCTATTACAATGGGTCACACACCAAGCAGTGTCATACCAGCAACTGTTTGCATTACTCGCACATAATTTTATTCTCGTACACCTTTTGGTTTCATTAGAGATGTGGAAGAATAACAGAGATGCCAACCCTAGTTTCGCCCAAATTGTATTTTGGCCAAAAAATGATGCAAAAATTAGCATTTTTTGGCCAAAATTTGTATTAACATTGTACTCACCTAAATCAGTAGCAAGTATCCACTGACTGACTGACTATGGTTTTACGCCGTTTTTAGCAATATTCCAGCAATATCATGGCCGGGGACACCAGAAATGGGCTTCACAAATTGTAACCATGTGGGGAATCGAACCCAGGCCTTCGGTGTGAGCGGCAAACGCTTTAACCACTAGGCTACCCCACTGCCCAAGTAAGTATCCACACATAGCTTGATACTGAATAATACGTGGTTGAAATTTATAGTGTATGGTACGTATGCTATTCAATAATTTAATTTAATGTATTATTTTTAAAAATTTGTATATTTTTACTGCTATCGTAGTATTCTGTGTTGCTTTCTTGTAACAAATACAATAGAATCATATGGGTTGGCATATCTGGGATAAACATTTCTTTTCAGGTCTGATGAGAAAAAATCAAATCCCCCACTAAAAATATTCACAAATTATAAGTTCTGTTCTCTGCATGGCTTGTCTCCCCTGTCACAGCCACAAGGGCTCAGAGAAGTCTATGGAATATGCAGAGGTCAGCCCACACCCAAACAAGTTTAGGGGACTGGCTTTCTCTCCAACATTGTGGAAAGGGAATATACCTCACACCCAAAATGGGCACTCAGCTCCCATTTGCCACAAAGACAGAGCCACAGTCACTGAGGACTATGGATGTCAATGTTGGTGTTGCTCTCGTTCTCGATCCATAAAAACAGTTAAGCCACCGAAAAGCTAATCTGAACAAAGCTAATCTGAACAAAGTCACAGACTTTTATCATACCTATGTGTTCTCCCTCTTACATATGGAAATCATATCAAGAAGCCCCTTCAATTTAAAATCCCAATTAGTATAGGTTTAACATGGGTAACTCAACATTTGAATTTAAAAAAAAAATTTTACTCCAAAATTACATATTTTTCCTTATCCTGACTCATGCTCTTGCTTGTAGCATCCTACATGGAACGGAGGTGGGAATATCTAATACTTTGGATTTTTAATAATTAGTGATTTGAACTGTGATGATTGTAATAACCCTATGGGAACTTCATAAAGGGCACTGAATTGATGAATTCCTGCTGCTAACTTATCAGCTGCCATATAAGGTTATTACCATGTACTTATTATGATAAAGTATATATAACATTAATACAATGCTTAAGACTAATAGACTTAAGCTTGTTAATATGCTAGTATAAACTCCTTAGAGTTTGTTAGCTAAAAATACTTTAAGATATAACATAGTACTAAGCTTAAGATGATTAAACTTAAGCTAATTATATAATAGCAAACTCTTTAGAGTTTGTTAGTTAATATGCTTATATGATATAGATATAATGCTGAGCTTAAGATATGAATAAGCTTTAGCTACATATATAATAGCAAAACTCTGTAGAGTTTGTTAGCTAATATATTTTTATAATATGAGTATAGTACTGTGCTTAAGCTATAATTAACTTAAGCTACATATATAATAGCCAAACTCTGTAGAGTTTGTTAGCTAATATATTTTTATAATATGAGTATAGTACTGTGCTTAAGCTATAATTAACTTAAGCTACATATATAATAGCCAAACTCTGTAGAGTTTGTTAGCTAATATATATTTATAATATTAGTATAGTACTGAGCTTAAGATATAATTAACTTAAGCTACATATATATATAGCAAAACTCTGTAGGGTTTTGTTAGCTAATATATTTTTACAATATGAGTATAGTAGTGTGCTTAAGATATAATTAACTTAAGCTACATATATAATAGCAAAACTCCTTGTTAGAGTTTGTTAGCTAATATATTTTACAATATGAGTATAGTAGTGTGCTTAAGATATAATGAACTTAAGCAACATATATAATAGCAGAACTCCGTGGAGTTTGTTAGCTAATATATTTTACAATATGAGTATAGTATTGTGCTTAAGATATTATTAACTTAAGCTACATATATAATAGCCAAAACTCTGTAGAGTTTATTAGCTAATATGTTTATAGTGTAACCATAGTACTAAGCTTATAGTACTGAGCTTAAGTTATGATGAAACTTAAGCTATATATATATAATAACAAAACTCCGTTCGAGGTTTTGTTAGCTAACCCCACCTATAATGTAACCATACTGCTTAAGATATGATGAAAACTTAAGCTAATTGTATAATAGCGAAAACAACCCTTTAGAGTTTGTTAGCTATGATATAAACCTAGTATTGAGCTTATGAAGGAAAACTTAAAGCTACATATATAATAGCAAGAACTCCAGTAGAGTTTGTTAGCTAATACATGTTATAATGTAACTATAAAGCTTAAAATATGATGAAACTTAAGCGAAATATATAATAGCAAAACCCTCTTTTAGAGTTTGATAGCTAATATACCTATATGATATAAACATAGTACTGCGCTTAAGATATGAATAAGCTTAAGTTACATATATAATAGCTAAAACTCTGTAGAGTTTGTTAGCTAATACATGTTATAATATAACCATATTGCTTAGAAATATGATACTTAAGCCAAATAGCAAAAAACTCTTTAGAGTTTGTTAGCTAATCTACTTATATGATATAAACATAGTACTAAGCTTAAGATATGAATAAGCTTAAGCTACCTATATAATAGCAAAACTCCTTAGAGTTTGTTAGCCATATATTTTAATAATATGAGTATAGTACTATGCTTAAGGTATAATTAGCTTAAGTTACCTATATAATAGTAAAACTCATTAGAGTTTGTTAGCTTAATTAACTTAAGCTATGTATAAAATAGCCAAAACTCTGTAGAGTTTGTTAGCTGATGCATTTATCATGTAACCATAATGTTACTCTTAAGATATGAATAACTTAAGGTAAATATATATAATAACAAACTCTGTAGAGTTGTTAACTTATATATTGTATGATGTAATAATCATGAGTACTGTGATGATAAAAGGAACTTAAGTAAATTATATATAGCATGGAAGCTGTTTAGTATTGTTATAAGATGATGTAAAAAAAATCTGTTAGATTGACTTATCTTCTCCGAGAACTGTCAGCTGTTGTCGCGGCGAGACCATGGGATCAATTGGTGTATACCTGAGGCGTCCTCGGTGGTGATATCTCTCAGATAATGTTTTGCAACCACCACATCGGATCTCCAGAAATAAACCCTCCCATATTTCAATCACATTTGTGTGGAACAATTGTAGAAGTTAGCTATAATATCATGAGTATTAAGCTCATGGAGGGTCGGAATAGGTCCATCCGCATATGCACGTAGAGTATGACAGTTCTGATCCAAATGGAGATATAGTACATGAGACTTCTCTCTCTGTTGAAGTTGATGATAGGAAATAATCTGTTGCATTTTTTTCTCCTGTTTGGTTTGGTGGAGATAAATTTACAGTGCTCTTTGCTGGCCATCTTGATAGAATCATCGTTATCATGGGGTCCAAGTATGTCATCCAGGCGTGTTCATAAACCTCACTTGTGAGGTGTTGGAGCACTATATTCATATCCCCAGGTTGGAGTGAAATTTCCGTTTATTCTCCAAACAGAAGTTTAGTAGGTTTACTAACCATCTAGTTGTGTTAGTTAAACTTGATGAAATTCAGCTGTAGTCTGAAACGCTGTGGATTTAGATCCACTTGTATCTTCGATCTAGGTAATTCGCCGCTAAGTCCTTGGCGATGTAGGTGCACAACCAGGTGTGTCTGTCCTCGTTGAACTTTATGTAAAATCGCTTGACTGCCCGATCCCTCGTCTTAACTTGACAGGGGAGGTCTCTATCTTGAAGAAAGGCAGTCTAATCATGAATGTTCAGGTTAACTGGACTGTAATGAGGCTTGCTCGCTTCACTGATATATAGTTGTCACTTGTGGACGTAAGTCTTGAACTGTGAATAGAGATGCGACCTCTGTGTAGTCGTTGTCCCTCAGCGATCCAATCAGAACAAGGCATTTTGATTCTGTATAATACCAGCTGTGATGTCACCGTAGCGGGAAAAACCACCTTGAATAAATTCTTGTAAATTCGTTGATATTAGCATAAGCGCCGGTCTTCACCGTAACTTCGAAGTTATCCGAGTGACCACGCGTTTTCGAGGTTAATGGTAACTCGCCTTGGCGAAACCTCCGCCGAAATATCTGCATCCTGTAATTTTATGCTGGGTAGGTTATTTTCCTGGTTGTCGGTGAAAGTAATTTCAGTTTTGAATATAATTCCGACTTCCTTATATATAAGGGTATAAACAACTTGCAAGTTGTGAGCTTGTGTAGACTGTATACATGAATGTATCGCCATAATTGTAGAATTAACGTTGAACTTGTTGTACATATTTCTTCTCAGAAACTTTGACGATTAAGAGTTATACTTCGCTGTAACAAGGCTGCTGTTCAATTTCGATATTGAATTGTCTGCAGATATGCGTAATGGTCACGCATGTAGATAATCGTGATCGTCGTCCGGGATTGTATATTAGCAATTTATACGAATAGATGATTTCTGTGAAGATCTATGAAATGTCGTTGACTAATAATACAGCGACGTTCTGTGTTGTAAATAGCCTGAGCAATTATCTTCGCCAGAAGCTTATAGGCGACATCTGGCATACAGTTGATAATCAACTTATGCGGCGTCTTGAACGGACTGGACGAGTAGCTATATATGGCGAAAGTGGCTAGTATATGGAAACCTTGGAGGAGACTTCCTCGGTGAACATGAGGAGACTTCGCGAAGTTCTCAAGTATCCTTCTAGATCTTCTGGGTGAAGTAGACTTGGAGCCACTTAGCCTTCAGCGACCATCAGCGAAGGTGTCGAAATCAAAGCCCGATTAGTATATATATATATATATATATAAATATATATATGGCGCTTGTTTCGAAACAGCCTCTGTGTTTAACAGGATGTGGGATCGTGGCTTGCCTAAGTATGGCATGGATCATCTTATCATATTCAGAAGTTCGTGTTACTACGAAGTCTGGTGATAAGTGTCTAATTGATCGCTTCTAGATCTATTTAGGCCAGCGAACATAAATCTGCGTCATGGATTCAACAGAACCAATATCACGATTGTAGTTCTTATACTTGATATCGATGATCAACTTGTCTATGGGTTGATCTTCTCGGAGACTTGTGAGGGGCGTTGATAGTTTGTGAAGCTCTTGTATAGTCCCTCGATGTCCTTCTAGATGATGATGATCTGGATTCAGGTGTCCTGTCGGCATGCCTTCGCTGAAGCTTCCTCTGCGTCCGGTCGGGGAACGACGATATGACCTTCGCCATGAAGGCTTCCGTGATGTCTGATGGTCGAGTCCACATCTAGGGATGAAACCCGCGATAAGGTGATGATCTATCCTGCCTTCGCCAAGTCCTTGGCGAAGGCTGTACATCTAGGTTCTTTCCGCTTCGCGAAGGCTGTACATCTAGGTCCTTTCCGCCTTAGCGAAGGCTGTACATCTAGGTCCTTCGTCCAAGGTGGTCCGTGACTTCCTTCAAGGTGACATCGTCCTGGCTGCTTTCGTTGACGGGGGTGCCTCTGGGGTGCTGTCACGTTGGAGCCTTCGCAGGCTCGGACCCTGCTACGCGCAGATATTGGTCCTCCATGATGTTCATAATTTGTCGCATCATGTCTTCTGGGATGGTCTGCGGCGAGGTCGTCGGTGCTTTATCTGCGGTGTTAATGGAGGGTCCACCGGAAAATCGTCCGACATCAGTGTAGAGGCATCAGGCTGCATGGTGATCTCTGCTGATGTCGTTAGCTGTCCCCGGTCGTTTCTTGTAAATGCGTCGTCGGGATGATGATCAGCTGATCATCGTAGGAGTCCAGGTCATCGGCTGGAACAATCTCGGTTGAGAAAGTCCTAGTAGACTTCGTTGATTTTCCCTCAGAGGTCGGCGCTGCCCTGGGTGTCGCGGCGTCTGCGTTGAGTGTTGGTAATGATGGGACCCTCAGGGCGATCATCGCATATCTGCGTTGGTACATCAGGCTGCATGCTGATCTGTGCCGACATCGGTCAATCTTTGATGTACATCCGGTATGATGACCGGCTGATCATCATACAGGCCCAAACCCGATGGGAGCGGTCTTCGGGTTGTTGAGATGTAGTAGAAAAACCCTCTAGTCTTCTGCTGCGGCGATGGGATGTCTGGGAAGCAGAATGCTTCTTGAGATGGCGGACTACGTCCCACACCTCTCCACCACTCTAATGCGAACACCACACGGAGGAGTCGGCCAACAGCAGTAGACTGGCGAGGGTTCGTGTATCAGTCATACTAGACTCTGCATAGCGCACCTATCTGCTAAGTGCGTACAAAGCGCCAAAGTAAATATTAATAAAGAGGTAGAATTGGATAAATTAGTACGCGAAATCTAGTATAGAATTTTCATCAACGTATTACAATGGGTCACACACCAAGTGGTGTCATACCAGCAACTGTTTGCATTACTACTAGCAAACCTCTATAATTTTATTCTCCTACACCTTTTTGATTTCATTAGAGATGTGGAAGGATAAACATTTTACCATTTCTTTTAAGGTCTGAAAAGAAAGAATCAAATCCTTACCAACAAAAACATTCATAATTACTCTTATCTTACCTTCATGTAAAATACTTTAATTTCATTGGTCAATGACGGTTTAACAAGTTTCTGTGACAAATGGAAAAATCCTATTACCCGCTATTCATAATTACTAACCTTCCAAGCTCCTTTCATTGAAGCAGAAGCTTTCTGTGACAAATGGAAAAATGATTACGCCATAATATGACGCATGCCGCGTCTAACAAGTTCAAAACCGTTCGATCAGCTGTTTTTGTGTTCACTTTGTACAGATTTATTCTACAGGACTTTCACTACTTTAATTAAGCTATTTATACATTGAGTGGTTTGCACACTCAGCTTAAACATAATTAACAATTTTTATAGCAGTTTTATGCTTGTCAGAATATGTTTCACTGATGTTAAATCCAGTCGAGAGGCAGACGTTGCATGTCATATAGGCGGTAGCTATCTTTAACATAAAATAAAATGATATTTTGTACATCTAACATGGCGGTAAGATAAATACGTTGTATGCTTCTCCCTCGGGTAATACGGTCTGATGTACGCCTCTTTGTAGCAGTGTCATCCCTACCGGCTCGGGCGACACTGCTACAAAGAGGCGTACATCAGACCATATTACCCGAGGGAGAAGCATACAACTTATATTGTAAATCATCTACACAAGAAACATTCACCTACACTGATTTACAAGTTCTGTTCTCTGCATGGTTTGTCTCCCCTGTCACAGCCACAAGGGCTCAGAGAAGTCTATGGAATATGCAGAGGTCAGCCCACACCCAAACAAGTTTAGGGGACTGGCTTTCTCTCCAACATTGTGGAAAGGGAATATACCTCACACCCAAAATGGGCACTCAGCTCCCATTTGCCACAAAGACAGAGCCACAGTCACTGAGGACTATGGATGTCAATGTTGGTGTTGCTGGCTTTGTCACTTTTATCATTCCTACATCGATCAAAGGTCTGTTGGGGTTTTACTTGCACAGTATAAAACAGTATTACAGACTTAAGAGACCCAAAACCATAGTTGGATTGTGTTTATTCTGAGTGTGCGAGTGTGACTATTCTATGTGACTAAATTAGAAAATATTCTGAATTACCATTGTCCAAATGACCGACCAGCAGTGGTGAGAGTTAAACTTTAACTTACTCACAGGAAGGTCGGTAATTTAAAGGTAAACTTACCCATCATTAATGGAGCAGACCTCTTCAATGAGAAACGCCTTCTCTTGCCGGGATGAATGGGACACACATTTCTCTACAACATTACTGAAACAAAGAGCAGACCATCCACAACATACACTCACCTGGATAAACATTAAGATTTACACTTGTAACACTTTAATAATCTCTCAGACGGATGAACATTAAGACTTACACTTATTTAATTTTAGCTACAGTTCCAAAGGCTGAGTCTAAACTCCATCTGGTAGAAAAAGGTGAGCTTATACCAAGACTAAAATCTAAGAAAACCAATACAAAAATACAAGTTTGGACTCAACTTGTAAGTTTTAGGCTCAGAATGGAGAAAATGGCTGTTAACTTAGAGTAATAACTATTAAGGGCTTCTGAGCAAATGGACACAACTAGAAGCAACACTACTTCAGCAGACAGTTTGTTGGAAATTATCACATCCACTGAAGGATAAAAAAACCCTTTACTGTAGGCAATGACAATTTCCACAGAACACCAACTAGTAGTGGCACAACAGAACACCAACTAGTAGTGGCACAAACAATTCTGACTTATAGTCTTCGAGTAAGGGGATAAAGCGGGGCTCAAGTCAGAAATGATTCCAGTAACACACAAAATAACCCTAAAAACTCTGTGTTGGCGCGGCCATAGTGCTTTATTTCTATTTTCAATGATTCCTTGAATGCTTTACTTCTTGTACCTAAGAATTCATACCTGGCAAACTTGTGCTGACTGAGAAGCAATACTTTGCCTCTGATCATGGTTACAATCTTGCTTTTATCCTCAGGACGCCCATGTTCCAGCACATGTTGAATGACGTAGTTGCCATACTGGTCTTGCACAAGGCGCTCTGTGTGTTCATGCAGCTCTTCAAGGATTGGCATTGTTTGTTCAGGCATGCAATGTTCAAGGATTCGCTGGATAACTCGGCAGCCATAGGGGTGAGTTGACAGTGTGAAAACCTAAAAGGAGACAAAAGAAACAAGGCGTCAAACACAACCACAATACTCTTGTAAATAATTTACACAAGAAACATTCACCTACACTGATTTACATGTTCTGTTCTCTGCATGGTTTGTCTCCCCTGTCACAGCCACAAGGGCTCAGAGAAGTCTATGGAATATGCAGAGGTCAGCCCACACCCAAACAAGTTTAGGGGACTGGTTTTCTCTCCAACATTGTGGAAAGGGAATATACCTCACACCCAAAATGGGCACTCAGCTCCCATTTGCCACAAAGACAGAGCCACAGTCACTGAGGACTATGGATGTCAATGTTGGTGTTGCTTGTCAAAAAGCTAATCTGAACAAAATCACAGTAGTTTGTCCCAACTATCCCTACACTCCCCTCATACAATAAATAATAAGGAAGAAGTCAAGGTCATCAATATCTCTGCCACAGTGTTCTGTTCGTATTTGGTTCCTGTTTTTTAACTCCACAACGACATTCATGTCCTAAACACACAAACACACATACTACATTTGGTTTTCCCCATCTATAACAGTTCCTGAGAAAATCTGTTCACATTGGGGGTAATGTGCACCAAGTCAATAATCAAATGTGGATCAAACATACTAAAGACTAGTGGTGTTCCAATTAATTGAAACAATCAAAGAAATGTCTTTTTGGCACTGAAGAATTGTAAGCGTTTTTCTAAAAAGGTCTTTGATTACCCTTTGAAGTCATACTGTGTAATACTAAGACTCATACTGTACATATTACAAAACACATTCGTGTGGTGTAGTGGTGGTCAGAGTAATTAAAATAATCGAAGATTGGTCAGAGTGACCAAATGACCAAGCAATCCATCACATTCTCAAAATAATCGAACATAAACGATTTTGGAACTACTGTTTTAGTCTTTGAAATACTTGACAATGGAACATGTCGTTGAAGTTGTCAGGGCCTGAAAATGTGTTTAATTCTTAGAAAACTCACTTCACTAACTGAAAAGCCATGACTGAATACTTCTTGAAGACTCTGGGAAGTTTATGTTCATGATATATTAGTCATCACTTTAAAGTAGCAAGTTGCATCATGTTATACATATCTGCAATAACAACAGGGATAGGAAAATCTGAAAAATGATGCTAACCAATTTTTTTTTATGATTGTTCGCTGGTAATGCAGCAATCATCATCAATTGTGAGATTTCAACCAATCCCCAACACTACTAGAGACTGACATATGCACTGTCACACAGCATCTAGTTACGACATGATATCAACCGAGTCACAGAAGCTGATCCCACCCATCAGTGTCCTCCCCTCTTACAATAACTTATATCAAGCCAACTCAACATGGGATTAACAAGGGGTAAATTTAAGTCAGATAATTCTATCATAGTTGCCATTACAATGGGTCACATCTTACATGGGTCATACATGCAACTGCTTGCATTACTCACGCAAAATTTCATTCTCATGCAGCTGTTGGTTTCATTAGAGATGTTCAGTTCAAACATTAATGATAGATTGATTATCTTGCTTCACGACATGAAGAGCCACAACATTAGCAAGCTAAACAGAGGGAAATAGACCAACTTTCTAAAGTTCTTACAAGTTCTGTTCTCTGCATGGTTTGTCTCCCCTGTCACAGCCACAAGGGCTCAGAGAAGTCTATGGAATATGCAGAGGTCAGCCCGCACCCAAACAAGTTTAGGGGACTGGTTTTCTCTCCAACATTGTGGAAAGGGAATATACCTCACACCCAAAAAGGGCACTCAGCTCCCATTTGCCACAAAGACAGAGCCACAGTCACTGAGGACTATGGATGTCAATGTTGGTGTTGCTTGTCAAAAAGCTAATCTGAACAAAGTCACAGTAGTTTATCCAAATATCCCTACACACCCCTCATACAACAAGAGTCATCAGAAGATGACATATCCCCCCGGCCCCCACATCTTTGAAAGAACAAATCATCTGACAGTTACTTAAAGTCCAGCTTGATTTTAGACTAAGTGCAAATCGTTTCCATGGAAATCATGAAAAAAATAAATGACAAAAATCTGCAAATAGCAAAAGGCACCACTTTGGGATCTGCCTCACATATCTGCCAAGTGTTGCTGAAAGATATTAAGAAGTTTTCGCGTTGTGCTCCAGAAACAAAACCCATCCCTTCCTTTTTGAGACTAAGTTCAATCATTTCCATGGAAACCGAAAATAATAAATCACAAATATCTGCAAATAGCAAAAGGCATCACTTCAATATCTGCCTCACATATCTGCCAAGTTTTGCTGAAAGATATAGAGAGGTTTTTGAGTTGTGCTCCGGAAACGAAGCCCACCCCTCACTTTTGGGATTAAGTCCGAAATCGTTTCCATGGAAACCGGGAAAAATAAAAATGCCAAAAATCTGCAAATAGCAAAAGGCACAACTTTAGGATCTGTTTGATATATCTATCAAGTTTTGTTGAAAAATATTATATGGTTTTTGAGTTGTGCTCCGGAAACGAAAGCAATCCTTACTTTTTGAGACTAAGTCCAAAATGTTTCCATGGAAACCGGGAAAAATAAAAATGCCAAAAATCGGCAAATAGCAAAAGGCACCACTTAAGGTTCTGTTTCATACATCTACCAAGTTTTGTTGAAAAATATTGAACGGTTCTTGAGTTATGCTCCGGAAACGAAGCCCACCCCTCACTTTTGGGATTAAGTCCGAATCGTTTACATGGAAACCGGGAAAAATAAAAATGCCAAAAATCTGCAAATAGCAAAAGGCACAACTTTAGGATCTGTTTGATATATCTATCAAGTTTTGTTGAAAAATATTATATGGTTTTGAGTTGTGTCTCGAAACTAAAGCAATCCTTACTTTTGAGACTAAGTCCAAAATGTTTCCATGGAAACCGGGAAAATAAAATGCCAAAAAATCGGCAAATAGCAAAAGGCACCACTTAAGGTTCTGTTTCATACATCTACCAAGTTTTGTTGAAAAATATTGAACGGTTCTTGAGTTATGCTCCGGAAACGAAGCCCACCCCTCACTTTTGGGATTATGTCCGAATCGTTTCCATGGAAACCGGGAAAAATAAAAATGCCAAAAATCGGCAAATAGCAAAAGGCACAACTTTAGGATCTGTTTGATATATATATCAAGTTTTGTTGAAAAATATTATATGGTTTTTGAGTTGTGCTCCGGAAACGAAAGCAATCCTTACTTTTTGAGACTAAGTCCAAAATGTTTCCATGGAAACCAAGAAAAATAAAAATGCCAAAAATCGGCAAATAGCAAAAGGCACCACTTAAGGTTCTGTTTCATACATCTACCAAGTTTTGTTGAAAAATATTGAACGGTTCTTGAGTTATGCTCCGGAAACGGCCCACCCCTCACTTTTGGGACTAAGTCCAAATCGTTTCCATGGAAATCGGAAAAATAAAAATGCCAAAAATCTGCAAATAGCAAAAGGCACAACTTTAGGATCTGTTTGATATATCTACCAAGTTTTGTTGAAAAATATTGAATGGTTCTTGAGTTATGTCTCGAAACGAAAGCAATCCTTACTTTTGAGACTAAGTTCAAAATGTTTCCATGGAAACCAAGAAAATAAAATGCCAAAAAATCGGCAAATAGCAAAAGGCACAACTTTAGGATCTGTTTCATACATCTACCAAGTTTTGTTGAAAAATATTGAATGGTTCTTGAGTTATGCTCCGGAAACGAAAGCAATCCTTACTTTTTGAGACTAAGTTCAAAATGTTTCCATGGAAACCAAGAAAAATAAAAATGCCAAAAATCTGCAAATAGCAAAAGGCACAACTTTAGGATCTGTTTGATATATCTACCAAGTTTTGTTGAAAAATATCGAACGGTTCTTGAGTTATGCTCCGGAAACGAAGCCCACCCTTCTTTAAGACTAAGTCCAAAACGTTTCCATGGAAACCGAGAAAAATAAAAATGCCAATTATCTGTAAATAGCAAAAGGCACCACCTTAGGTTATTTTTGACATATCTACCAATTTTGGTTAAAAAATATCGAACGGTCTTTGAGTTATGGTCCGGAAACAAAATGATTACGGACGGACGGACGGACGGACGGACGGACGGACAGACGGACGAGGCGACGACTATATCCCACCGCATTATATGCCGGTGGGATAATAAATAATAAGGAAGAAGACAAGGTCATCAATATCCCCGCCACAGTGTTCTGTTCGTATTTGGTTCTTGTTTTTTAACTCCACCACGACATTCATGTCCTAAACACACATACTACATTTGGTTTTCCCCATCTATAACAGTTCCTGAGAAAATCTGTTCACATTGGGGGTAATGTGCACCAAGTCAATAATCAAATGTGGATCAAACATACAAGAGACTAGTGGTGTTCCTATTAATTGAAACAATCAAAGAAGTGTCTTTTTGGCACTGAAGAATTGTAAGCGTTTTTCTAAAAAAGGTCTTTGATTACCCTTTGCAGTCATTCTGTGTAATACTAAGACTCATACTGTACATATTACAGAACAAATTCGTGTGGTGTAGTGGTGGTCCGAGTAATTGAAAAAATCGAAGATTGGTCACATTGACCAAATGACCAAGCAATCCATCACATTCTCATTAATCGAACATAAGCGATTTTGGAACTACTATTTTAGTCTTTGAAATACTTGACAATGGAACATGTCGTTGAAGTTGTCAGGGCCTGAAAAAGTGTTTAATTCTTAGAAAACTCACTTCACTAACTGAAAAGCCATGACTGAATACTTCTTGAAGACTCCGGGAAGTTTATGTTCATGATATATTAGACATCACTTTAAAGTAGCAAGTTGCATCATGTTATACATATCTGCAATAACAACCTGGATAGGAAAATCTGAAAAAATGACGCTAACCAATTTTTTTTATGATTGTTCGTTGGTAATGCAGCAATCATCAATTGTGAGATTTCAACCAATCCCCCAACACTACCAGAGACTGACATATGCACTGTCACACAGCATCTAGTTACGACATGATATCAACC